GTAATTTGTCGTTACAGGGGCGGAAACGCGTCGCCATGTTTGGATATGGACGGATAATAAATAAAAAAACAGCTCATCGAGATTTATTTTGTTTTGTGTCAATACTGATTTATTTTCCGCGTTTTTACCTGCTCTTATCGTATTTGAATAAAAATTTTAGATAATAAGTTTAAATTAGGCGGCACAAATAATTATTGACGCTTTTATATATTGACCAGTAATGAAATCATCCATAAAAACCACATCATTTCGCCTACGGCCACGTTGATTTCAAAACATACTCATCGAAATATAAGAAATGCCAAGTGTTATATTCATCACGACATCTACAGTTAATTCCTTTGGATATCCCATTTTATCTTTACATATAAAAAAATCATACTAACACAAGTACTGTATTTGTCTGTTTGACTGTTGAGTATGAGTATGAGTTATTGTTTCATATAATAGCTGAAAGAGTTACGATATTTTAACAGAATGTGTTTTTAAACATGAGACCACTTACAGGCTAAAGAAAATTGGGAAAAATAGGAACCAAAGAGAGCAAGGAATAATTTTGTTAAATTAATTCGCTACCAACAATAATATATATAAATTTGTTAATAAAATAATGTAGGATGTCGTGTAGCTGCTTTAATTACGGTCATCGGATAATCACCATTAGTAAAAAAAAGATCTTCAAATGTCGCGTATATAGTCCCAAGCACCACTAATCTGGAATAAATGAACACATATTATTTTTCTTTCCCGAAGAAAACTGTAGACACAATCCAATTAAGCCTTACATTACTTAATAACCGATGCAAACTTAACACGCGTCGATCAAAAATAGAAACAAACCTGTACCCACCCTCAGTTCGGTCGATACTGCCGTGACTGGGAGCAGTAAAAACACTGTATAAAAAAGCCTGTGTAGGAAAAAAACAAAACATTAAATTACAGTGTAATAAGGCCGCCGAAACTCCGGGTGATCGACCCCAGTAATAACGGATACGTTTCCTAGATATGCCAAGTGGGAAATTCGCGGAAAGGTTGAACCGTCCGCCGAAATTAATGGTGTTGCCGTTACAATTTGTTGTTACACAGTTTTCGGGTATTTTTAACTTTTTAGAAAAATTGCCAATTATTATTGAGAACTGATTTTTTAAATTCCCCTTTTTATTAAAATTCTAAGGGTTTAAAATGCCTTTACATATTTATGAACTCACGTCTATTGCATCCCAACATAATAATATGTTAAAAGGAATCTAATTAATGGTATCTAATTATTTCTTTACATTCTTTTGGTGCTCCAGCTATTGTATTTTTATTTTATTTTATATAACTTTAATGCACGTAATACAAAGGTTAAAATTAAAATATAAAGAGCGAACCTAATAATCGTGGGTGGTGCATTTGTTGTTATATGTATGTTATATATATCTCCTTATTGATAAAAACGTGGAATGTTTGGCTAAAATAAACTTGTTTTAGCTATTAGTGACTAAAATCGGTTAATATTGAATATTAAAATATTTTATTTTTTCTTACAAACTCCATTTGAAGAAACAAAACAAAATACTGAAATAGTTTCGTATAAATGCAATAAGATCGTTAAAATACTTCATATACACTACTTACCATAATTAGAAATTTTAATAGCCCTAATTGTATCCTCGAATTATTCATATTTTTCGAATCTGATCAATATTAAATTAAAAAAATTATAGATTCCAATAAAAATCTTATCTCGATCAAAAATGGGGAAAATGGAGATACGCGAACAGCTTATTCGACGCCGAAATATTGAAAAACTTTCACTGTGATCATTTAATATTCCTAGAACTTCCATACATATACGCAGGTATATATATCTCGTAATCTAGCAATTAAAAAAGATATTTATATCACAGGTTTCAAAATAAATATGTGTAAGATGCAACATCTGGCAAGAATATAAATTACTTACTAATTATTCATATTGTTATTTATAATTGTCTATTTTATTTATGCCTTTTATTAAAATAATTATTTACCAATCTATTTCTGAAATAGAGTATCGTACTAAACTTATAAGTAACAAAATAATATATCTAGAATTATTACTAAAGACAAATATTGGAATTCAAAATTAAACTAAATAGATATTATGGGTATAATTGTCTTCAAACTAATTACGATTCTTAATAACGTAATCCGATCTCTTGGTGGGGTATTAATAATTAAAAGAGGGTGAAATTATTATATCCCAGTGGATTTTTGTTACCAGAATCTCGTAAGCCAGCGAGGAAATCTTTTTGAAGCTGCGCGAATTAAGTATTAGCTAAGAATCCAGTATCTTTAATACAGGAGATTAAGGAACAGTGCCTACCTAGTAACGACGCAAATTGGTTGTTTCTTTAATAATGTTCAAAAGGAATACATCACACAATCCATTAATTTTTGTGTCTTTATCCTTGCTATCACCATTGTCGTCAAGATAATAAACTGACTATTAAACAGGTAATTCTACTGACTTGAACTTTGTACAGTCATCTGCATAGATACCATTGTCTCACCAATTTGAGCTGCCAACCTATTTGCTTTGTAAGCTGACATTCTAACCCTCAGGCGTAGGAATAGGAGTACCACAATCTATATCTTGACAAGACGACTGTTCATGTATAAAGGCAACCGTTGCCATTTATAATTGGGTGAGTTGTCTTTCAATTTCATAAAAAAAAAATACCATCAATAAAATAATAAAATGACATTCTATTTATTATTTTATTTTATCTAACTTTTTAAACATTTTTTGTCTTTTAGTATAATGTATTTACTTTAATACTCGTATCGTTTTCTTACAAAACGTTACCAAACAGTTTTCTTGAACTGTTTATATATTTAAAATATTTGATTTAATTGAAAGTAAAAAAAATGATGCGGTAAACAGAAACAACTATGCAGTGACGAAAAGCAGCGGATGTCGGACGCTAATGAAGTGGCTGAAAACGAGTGCACTCCACTTCTTGCTGTCTTCTTCTAATACATTGAACGTCATTTAGGGTTGTCTACATGGAAACATATCTATGTGTATATACGTACTTTTTATGATTTATGCTTTTTTCATAAACTAATTTTGGTACATATATCATTATAATACACTATCATTATAATAGTACTATATTTTGTAACATAAAATTAAAATAAATAAAAACTATATTAATTAATTTTTAATTTTCTTTTACCTTCTTTAATTTCCAACAAACTAATAGTCCTTCGAGTCGAATGATAATTATGACTATCTCACATTACATGTATATTTTCATAACTATTTTGTCAAAAGATTTACATTACTATATCGGTTATACTTATTACTGTACAGTAATAAATATTATTTAACTTTAAATATAAATGCTTATGTTTCTGACAATGGATGCAGTACTTTTGTACGCTAAAATTACTAGACGAATTCGAATGAAATTTAGTACACTTGTAAATCATAGACATGTAGAATATATTTACAAAAATACACTAATACAGTGTACCTGGTAATCAGTGATATTATTATTCTTTTGTTTTAGACAGCCCTAACCGTCTATCTCGCTCCATCTCAGAATATGCAAATCCGCACCTAGAGATTACTCTGGTTTGATCCATCTGCATAATGAAGTGCCGGCGGATGCTCTTTTCGCGCGTTTTTTGCTTGACAGTAACTCATTCTTCACTATTCAAAGAAAAACCTTTGCTGCCTGTACCGTGACAGAAAGCTACTTACATTATACATACATTATCTTTTGCAAATGCAATTGTCGCTAAAACTAAACTGAAAATAATTAGGTACTTTCACAAAAAATATGTTACTTTTAAATTTACAACTTATTACTGTAAAAAAATATGTCTTCTCAATTCTTTTTTCAATTCTCAAACAGAAATACCAATATAGATATTTTTGTAAAGTGTAGTCTGTGTTAGTCTGTCATGCCTCTTTACACTGTAATTATACTTTTTTATGTAATTGAAATGGGAAACAAGTAGATGGTCACGGTAACTGTAGCCTATATATATATACAGCTATGCGTATTTTATCGAATTTGATATTATTTTGCGGAAGTCCACTGTTTGTTAACTGATCGGCGCAGTAACATAATACGTTATAGGTTTATAAATAAGGAGTTTAGAATTGGTATTTATATTAAATTCAATGAAAGAACGCTCAAATCAAACACGGAGAACATCGTTAAAGCAACATTGCATACTTAACCTCTACTAAAATCCTGTGACGCCGCCAAATTGCGGAGTAAGTGAAACTGACACTACAAGTCGTCTGTATGTACGTCACGCGCTCCTCCCAGCTCGGCACACTGGAGGTTAACTGATGGATTAAGTTACGCCAAAGTTATCTTAAATCCTCTACGCGTGGTACAATTTACTACTCAATCGTAATTCGATCTGTCTTCTTTAAAAGCGACAAAACGCGATTAGTTAGATTTACAGTAAGACTACATATTTTAATTCTTTCCTTTTTTTTCTACTGACCGCGTCTCCAATGACGTGACCATAACTGATTACAGTTATTTGGAAACCAGGAATAGGTCAAGGTGACTGATTTTAACTACGAGGAAATGACAATTTTTTATACATATTTGCGAAGGCGCTACTTTCTCAACCCAATCTCGGAACCGCAGCTGACTTTTACTAAGCTTCATAAGACATCTATCTTAACCATCTTAAAACTTTTTGACCGGGAGAAAATAACTGACGAAAAACAACTCTGGCTCGAACACTATGTATGTATTTCAAATTTTATAATGATTGGTTAAGCTATTAAGGTGTGAAAGGGTTACAAACAAACTCTATTCGCATGACTATTTGACAATAAGTCTGGCCATTACTACTTCTTTACCTTTCTCTAGTGGTATGTGGAGAAAAATATAAATCTTCATTATAGGTCTAACAGATAGATAGTCAAATTTACGTCGATGGCTAAGACTGAATTTATTAATATAATTTATGTAATATTGTCTATATGTTTGTTTCAGGATGGAGGATACAGTACGATCGCTGTTGCAGTACAAGACCCGCGTGGAAACTCTGAAGCAGGAGAAGGCTTCACTGTCGTCCGCACTGGAGGTAGGTTCAATTTGTTAATCCTTTTTATCATAATTCTTTTAATTATGACGGTCATATTACTATAAGCTGTCGACTATATGAAATAAATGAGCAGCATTCGATATTGATATTATAGAATAAGTATATTGTATTTAGTGAATTAAGTTTTTAATAGTTTTCACGCTAAAAAATGGAATATAAAATAATATTTGTTAAAAATGCTGAATTAAATTATATACTAAGACGTAACAAAATAAGTGTATACTGATTTCTTATATATGATATCGTCATCATCTGCTTCTTCCTTATCCTATTTATTTGAATTCTGCGTAATATTTTTTCTCTTCCATCAATTCTTATATATAAGTACATATTAAATTCGATTGCTACATACCAAATTAAAACCTTAGCTTTCCGCAATATACTTTGCCATTATTAAATGCTTTTTTATATAATAAAGTTGCTTATTATAATATTTATAACTCATTTTGTCAGGTATCCAATAGTAATATCATAACAACGAGTAATTTATGAATTTACACACCAATATTTTCATATCGTTAAAGAACTTAATGCAGGAAATTCTTTAATTTTCATCTCTATATCCAAGACCAGTATAAAATAGTACTTGGACAATAATATATTTGTTAAATACCTTTGGAGCATTGTGGGTCAACAGGGATGGGCTTTAATACAAAAGCCGAATGCAAACATTCTAGATATTTCATTACACATCCGTATTGTGCTCCCCCATTTGTTTAATAAGTCCTATATAAAACTATTGGATATGAACGGATTCAAAATACTTATTCGATTCAATTCGAATTCTACGTAATCTGAAAAAGTAGCAGCTGAATCGGTTGATGTTGATAAACTTGAATCTGTATTTTTGTAATCATGTACAAGGTTATTACATACGTATGTAATTGTGTAATGAGATATATTTATAATCATATTATGGCTGATTGAGAAATATTTTTTATATGATGTAAATGACTATATATTTATTATTACATATGTAGTTAGTTGGGCAACATGTTGATCATACGTATATTATAAAAAAAACATGTTAAAATACATTGGGCTGGTTATGTAGCATCCTACCTACGTGCGTATGTCATCTGTGGTTCTACGTATAATTTCTTTTCTCGTCTAATACGGCTATATACTTTACTCTCTTATATACTCTAAATTTAGAATTATAGCTGTTTTTAATTTCATTAAAAAAAGTGTGAATGTTTGGATTATTTTTTTTTTCTTTCAGTCAACATAATATAACTTTTATAATAATATTTACTCTTATTATATATACCATTAGGACTAAAATATATAAAAAATAATAAAACATAAAATACCTTGCAACAATTAGAAATAAGTTCATTATCTTTATTCGCCATTACGTATGTATTAGAATCCTGGTATATTAAATTATGAAATTGTTCTATTCTGTTATTTCATAATTCACAGTCCAATGCTTCACACAAACCCAGCTATAATGTATTTTGGCCATCTTCTAAACGTATATTTTAACTCTCAATATTATATTTGTCTCTGAGAAACATAAATTATAAAGTATACCTTATTTTTCTATAAAGTTACTGCCATCATTGTGAGACCCTGGATGTAGCGTTATCTCCAAACATGAATGGCGAATCAGAATTTGAATTTTTCCATTTCCCGTCACTTTTTGAATGATACCCGTACCTCTCTATTGTGATGTACTCCCCCATTTTTAATATCTCCTATTGGAATTTATACATTGTCAGCGGTTTTCACATTGAAAATTGTAAGAAAAATATTCCTATTAATTTTCCTGGTATCAAATATAATATATTTTAAACCTTACACAACAAGCGCTAAGTCGAAATTTCTCTGCCACAGCAACACAAAGAAAACAACAATTATAACAATACACGTTACACAAATAGAAGGATCTTACTAAGATATTGCACGCAATGTATTTTGTACGTTAATGTTTATTACCTCCGAGTCCAGTAATAAGTACACTTTGTCAGTAAGCACCACTTATCGTAAGAAAGCCCCCGCCACTAATTACGCAAAAACATCTCATCCCCATTCAAACATGGTGTACCGTTCATATAATCCCTCAAAGAGCGTCCAGCGGCGACCAAACCAAAGACGGTAGAGCCCCCCAATACAGTAATGCCGAAACAAATTAAGGGAGATCAGACGATGTGCTTTAAAGTGACACAGATCAGAATATATCGGTCTAGCTGCGATGCTTTCGCAAATTAATTCCTCTATCTGCGGGGGCAGCTATAATCCAAAAATGATCGCCTCCACCGACCGTCTCGATAAACGCTTTTTAATGTCAGAAAATGAGCGGACAATTTTAGAAGCGAAATGGTGACGAAACTTATAGTTATTGGGAGTTCAAATGCAAACTGTTCGTTCGTACATCTAAACTGTTATGAATAAAATGAAGGTTACGTCAATTACGTTATCCTCTAATAATCTAATTGTATATTATTAACTAGCTATGATCGCAATTTCAACCGCGTGAAATTTATAGCTTATGTATTTTTCTGATGTATCTGTATGTTTTGTAAAGTTTAATTAAATTTCATTCAGTAATTTTTGTGTGAAATAGTAACAAACATTTATGCATTATTCTTCAATACACATCACAAACTTTAAACACATATTATTTTGTACTAAATAACATTAATTTTTATTTGTATTGGCTGAGCTTTAGAATACGAAAAGCTCAGCTATTTATTACAAACAAAAAGTATTATAAAACAAGTTACTAGTATTTTATAAATCAATTAATTTGGTACTTAAACGTTTTCTAAAATACTTTTAACTATAAATAACTAAATTGTTAACAGTATATGTTATTTCAGTATAAATTGTGAAAAAATATTAAACGTATATATATATATATATATATATATATATATTCTTTGAATACATTTTTAGGTATGTCAATTAGAAATAACATTAACAAAGGAGGACTTATCTCTAAACGAAATCTCTTCCGTCCGATAAAGCGTGGCATAGGAAGTATTGAGTGGGTCAAATTGTGCACACAATAATTAAATTTTTTAATTTAAAAATGTCACAAGTAATTAAAACGAAACATAAAAATATTCTGTCCCATACCTATATGTATACAATACCTATAATATACTATGTAGGCAAGTGTTTATAAACGAGCGGGGCGAGCAGGGTGCAGTAATAAGACGTAAGAACCTCCACGGTAGATTGTCGACCCTCGTAATAACTCCTAAATGACGGATTGACAGCCCGCTGATAGTTTAATATTATATAATGTTTGCACTATACTCGTATAGTAAGTAACATTGCTTCTATATGACATTTTGTTATTTGTGCTAAGATGTGAAGTTTAAAGGATAAACCTAAGAATATAATCAATAAAAAAGCAGTTTTTCTTATACTACGACTAGCTGACCCCGCAAACGTTGTATTGCCATATAAATTGCAATTAAAAATAGGAGTTCATGGTAGGGAGGATGAAAATTTAGGGTTGTATGTATTTTATATATTTAATGCCACAGTATAAAAAATAACCAATAAAAAATTTGTCCAAAGAATAAAATAGAAATGTTAGGGGTGGACAACCCTTATCACTTAGAGGTATGAAAAATAGATAGTAGCTGATAAATTAGTCGAACTTATGTTATGGGCTAGTGCCCAAACAACTGACAGAAATACAGATTTTTTTGTTTATGCAAACATATACATAACATACATAGAAAACATCCAGACCGATTCAAATAGTCATAATTATGAGTATAAATCTTTACATCATGTGAGGAATCGAACTCGCGACCATCGAAGCAAATCAATGTGCTAAATGGTTAGGCCACCGAGGCTGTAACAATACGAAAGCTTTGAAACTAAATAGATAGATAGATAGAATTTTTATATACGATAAAGGAATATACACACAAGGCACGGTAATATTAAGAACAAAAATTAAAAGTAGATACACAATTACATTAGTCAGTCGACATAAATAACTACTCTTAAATATAGTTATGCCATAAAAAGGCTAATGTTTACATAATAAACCTCCACAAATGTATCCTCATACTGAAGTGACATCACTTTGGACCCTTTAATGCCTACTTCCATATTACAATACGAAAAATACTTGGAACTGTAATAAAAGCCGTACAAACCATTACAAACACACATACAGATTTCCATATGTATTCAAAATTTTTTTGTGGTATGGTCTAAGTGACAAGCGACATAGGAAATGAAAAAGATATTTTATATAATAAAAAATTCGTGTACCAGACACAACAGCAAGAATATATATTCATAATCAAAGAGATCGCGAAATTGATTCACTTGTAACCATTGAATTTATTTATGAATAATAATATTTAAACGCTTTGAAAATTATTAAAATTTATATGTATGATAACTATACTATAGTATTGCGTATAAGTCCCCCACGTCTTATATTATACTATTATTACCCCTGTCTTCGTCTGCTATTTTTAGAAAATAGCCTATATCCAACTTCACAATGCAGTCTATCCTCATGTCAAATTTTATTCATAACTATACAAAAATAACAATTTTAATTAATTTTTCTTTTACTTGCATTATAATAATATTCTAACAAACCTAATGAAATGAAACTACACAATTTTCATATTATTACTAATATTAGAACAATAGTTCAAATGAATCGCTTAACTCTTTTCACATACACCAAATTCACTCACACAAATACAACCAATGTAAGGACATTAAAATGGCGGAAAGCGGGAAATCGGCTATGCACAATAGCTGGCGTTTCCCGGTTTAAAAGGCACCCCCCGCGTCCCTCTTAACAATAATTCAGCTTCACCCTTCCGAAGTGCAAGGGCGCAGTTACGAGGGCAGACCTATAGGGATGGGAGGGCAGATATAGTAAAAAACCTAATCGATAACTAACTAACAATCGTTTAGACAGGTGACTTCACTTTACTTTTTAAGGTACGGTATCACCGTATTTAAAAAAAGTAAAGTGAGGGTTT